CACACACACACACACACACACACACACACACACAGTCTGTCAGGTTAACCCTTCCCTCACCCTCTGCTTCTGTCACGCATGGTTTTTCTTTGGGTTAAAGGTGCAGCAGAGTTTATTTCAGCAGGAAAAGTTTGAGCTCATTTTCAGCTTATTTTTCAGAAACAAACATTAAACTAAAATTCACAATTTGTTGTTTTTCCTCCAACATTTGCATCGACACAAACACAACTGAATTAATTTTTAACGTCATCTTTTAAAATACAGTCTTGTTTTTTGAATTAAGCTAGTCTTCTGCTGCTTTTACCATTTAGCTAGACTTTGCCTTTTTTTTTTTAGCTTTTAGCTATGCTTTTACTCATTTTATCTTTAAACTTGCCTTTTTCTGCTTTTAAAACTTAGCTTAACTTAGCATTTTTTAGCTTAGAGATTTGTATTTACTCTTTTAACTTTAAGCTAGCCTTCTGCTGCTTTTAGCTTCAAGCTAGTATTTTAGTTTTGAGCTAGTCTTCTGCTGTTTCTAGCATTGAGCTTTGACTTTTCAGCTTTTAGCTATGCTTTTACACATTTTAGCTTTAAACTAGCCTTTTTCTGCTTTTAAAACTTAGCTTAACTTCACATTTTTTAGCTTTGAGATTTGTATTTACTCTTTTTAACTTTATGCTAGCCTTCTGCTGCTTTTAGCTTTGAATTTTTTAGCTTTTAGCTATATGTTTACTCCTTTTAACCTTTTTTCTACTTTTAGCATTGAGCTTGCCTTCTGCTGCCTTTAGCTTTGAGCTAGTTGTCTGCTACTTTTAGCATTAAGCTAGACTTCTGCTGATTTTACTTTTGATCATGTCTTCTGTTGCTTTTAGCATTGAGCTTGCATTTTGCCCTTTTTTTAGCTTTGAACTACATTTTTTGCAACTGTTAGCTTTTAGTTAGTGTTGTACTAAGTTAGCCTTTCAATTTAGCTTCTAGCTAGTGTTAGGCTTTGTTTTTAGCTGTTTCATTCACATAATGTTTTTCCTGTTTTCAAAAATCTGCTGCAACTAAAAGCAGGTAAAACAACAAACTTTCTAGTAGCTTCAAACAACCAAAGTTTATTTCTGTTCATCTTTTTTTTCCTGCAGGAAAGAAAAAAACTATTTTTCAGTTCTGATCAGACAAAAATCTCATCATCATCWATAACAGATTTACTCTGGATTAAATCTGGAACAGTTCCTTGTTTATGGGACAGCTGACGACCTGTGAGTTCAGATGACGCTCAGCTTTGTACAAAATGTACAAAATAAACGAGCCCACGTGTGTGTGTGTGTGGGGGGGGGGGCGCTGGGAGC